GGCCCTAGTGGGTACACGCTTAAGGGGGCTGCCTTGGATCCCTGCTATTTCTTCAGATTTATTTCTTATAGTTATAGACATTAATGATTTTTTTTCTATCCCTCTACAACCCCAGGATTGTGAAAAATTTGCTTTCTCTGTACCTTCCACCAACTTTAAAACGCCTGATGAGAGGTATGAATGGACTGTTTTACCCCAAGGTATGGCCAATAGCCCAGCATTCTGCCAAAGCTATGTGAAGACCTTTTTGGGGCCTGCTTACTTGCTGCCACATGCCACTGTGTACATTTATATGGATGATATAATCTTGGGAGCTCCAACCCCCCAACAATTAGAAGAGTCATATAAGGTTACTCAGAAATGTCTACAGACAGGTGGACTCCATGTATCCACTGATAAAATACAGACTATTACTCCTTTAAAATTCTGGGAACCATACTCTCTTTGGAAGGAGTAAGTCCTTTAAAACCACAACTGGCTGTCAAGCCCACCGTAACCCTGACAGAGCTACAAAAATCATTAGGAGGAATTAATTGGCTATGAGCCTGGATGCCTATTCCCACTGAGACTTTAAGACCACTGTTTCAGTTGCTAGTAGGGAAACAGCCTTCAGAACTAATTCACCTGGCTCCTCAATACCTGGACCTCTTACATGAGGTCCAGGATGCCCTCTCCCAAGCCCAACTTGCCCGGTACACACCTAGTAAAGATCTTGAGTTATGGGTACTCTCCTGTGAGACCCTGATGGCATCCGTCCTTACGCAGGACGGGAAGACCCTTCAAAAAATTTGGACTGTTGTTATGGCCCTCATAAATGGGTGACCTCCTTTTGCACCCTCTGTTGGGATGCCCCCCAGCTCTTTGTCAAGGAGCTGTTAGTAAAAGCCTATGATATTTTCACTGACGAGGGCAGATTTGGAGCTGCAGTGATAGTATACCCAGGGGCAGATGAGAAACCAAAAAGATATGTCCACACTTGTGATGGCTCAGCTCAATTCAAGGAACTCATGGCCATTGCTTTAGCATTAACAAAGATAAGTGAGCCCATGAATATGTTTTCTAACAGTCTGTATGTAGTGAATCTTCTTCCAGGGCTATTAGGTTTTCATATCTGGTTGGATGGGAACCCCATTACTCCCTTGATGATTCAGACTCATACGCTCCTTGAAGAGAGAAAAGCCCCTATTTTCTTACAGCATCTTAGGGGGCACCAAAGATTGCCTGGGCTTTTATCCCAAGGCAATGCAGAGGCAGACAGGATGGCTTATTGTGTCAACCCTTTCTACAGGTACCACCTCTGCAACAGCCAGGGGTAAACCCCAGGGGACTCAATCCTAATTCTTTGTGGCAGACGGATGTCATACACTATGCTCCTTTTGGAATGCTTAAGTATATTTTTGTGTACATTGACACATTCTCACATGACTGTTGAGCTACCGCTCATGCAGGAGAGAAGTCTAAACATGCTCAGTGTCATTTTCTCCAGTGCTTTGCTACGTTGGGACTGCCCCAAACAATTAAAACTGATAATGGACCATGTTTTGTGGGTAAAAATGTAGAAGCTTTCTTTTCACTTTGGGGAATTCAACACAATACAGGAATTCCGTCTAATGCCCAAGGTCAAGACATTATAGAACGCAACCATCAAAACCTAAATATTCAATTACAAAACAAAAAGGGGGAATGAGGCCCCACCAAAAGTTGGGCATGGCCTTATTCACTGTTAATATTCTTAATTTTATAAAAAATCAGTTGGAATCCCGGTTTCAGATGCATTGGGGATGACACGAGCAGAGACCTGAAGTATGGGTAAGATGGAAGGACCCCATTTCGGGGCAATGGAGAGGCCCAGATACACTGTTAACCATGGTCGAGGCTTTGGCTCTGTCTACTCTACAGGAGATTTAAACCCCATATGGGTGCCGGTGAAAAAACTTAAGTGGGTAGCCCAGGATCCAACTGACTAACATGACAGTCCATGGACAATAGTTCTTGAGAAAAAAATTCCTCTCTTTATTTGTATCCATCTGAGGTAAAGGACTCAGTTCCTTGACTTCATTGCCAGTCAGCCTCTTTGACAACTGGCTGATTGGCTAAAAGGAACATGGTCTCAGAAGTATTTCAACTTGTCCTATGCCATGACTTGCTTTGTTTCTCTTGATAATGCTTATCTTTAAGTGTCTTTACCAGATAATTTGGCGACAGAGAACCCTTGGAAGTGCCACAGCCCACCTCCTCATGATTACGGACTTCCCCAGGACCCACTCTGGTTGCCCACGCTTGGCTAACCGAGTTAGGCAGAGACTAAGACTGTCACAGGCTGGCATTACCCATGCGGCTGCCCTTAATCATGACACGTTTTTAGCCAAAGACAGGTAAGATGTCCCATGACAAGTACTCCTAAGACAGGATGTGCATATGGCCAGGTGCATGATCCAGTGATGGGCAAGGCTTGATCAGAAGTGACACAACCTAAGACAGGCAAAAATGCATAAGATTAGAGGAAGGAGATAGCCATCTCTCCTCAGGGAGCCACCTATGAGGTGGGTAACCAGTGAAATAAAGTCAGTCTGGCCTTAAAATAAAAATTAAAAGGGGGATATGTGGGGACCTAAAAGCTCCACCTTGCATAGGTCCGAAAAGAAGTTATTGGGGGTGTGGCCTGGCTTGCTTTGAAAGTCTGAAGAATACTTCTGCACTCTGCTGAGGAGTGCATGATCTGCACATGACCATCCTTAAGATACACCCTGGCGGGGGGGAGTAGTTCCAGGCACCTTTATAAGCTTTGGAACACTTGCAATAAATGAGTTCCTGCTTGACTAGGCTCCCCATTGCGTCTGAGTGTCCCTGGGTAATGGGGGTGGCATGGGCTGGTGGATGGCGTGCTTACTCATCCCCAGTCCTCACCTCGCTGGGGGTCGTGGGTTCAAGTCCCTGGCACTAGAGGTCTTTGTTTTAGGAAGGTCAGCTGTTCCTCATCTAGCAGCAATAAGCTGTCAATAGTCCTTTAGATAAGATTGGGGTCTGCTGTTCACTTTCCCAGTTCTATGCTGGGTTACTATATGCGAGTCCCTTTGGCCAACCTGGCCAACAACTCAAAAGAGGTATCTCCTGTCTGGCATTGTTGCTTGTTATGTAGCCGTAAGCTATACCTATGGACTCTTAAAAAATTATATTGGCCCCTTTAATCTTTGGTTATACTTTCCTTTTGGGTGTTTAAGGCCCTACAGTTGGCCCAGATAAACCAATTTATTTTTACTCTAAAGGTCATTTGAGCATCTGTTCCTCAGGGGTCACATGGACTTGGAAGGAGCCCCTGGCTCATTTCTTTGACCACTTCCGCCTATGTGAAGATAAGTCAAAGGTCCTGCTCAATATAGCTGGCTTCGCTTGGAATCATGGAGGAAATGATTCCTCTCTGTTGACCCTCCTGGGTTCAAGTCCATCTGTTGGGGTCTCCTCGGCCTCCTTGATCAAGAGGACAGGTGACCCACCACAATTACAGGACATTTTGAAAGATGCTCATAGTCCCCTGGAACTAGTCAACCTAGGAGGGCAAGGAGCAAAAACTGTCCTTTATGTCCCTCTGACCAAATTAGTATAGGACTCAAAGTATGTCTGTTAAACATCCAAGAAGGGTAGTTCCACCAGTCTGGTACTTTTAATTACTGTGTGTCATGTAGATAAATCTTGGGCAAAGACCAATTGTTCTCAGATAAACCTTACCTAGACATATATTTCTTGATCTGGTATGTACAATTAGACAGTAAGTTGTTGGACTAATATGGTTCCCTCTGGTTTGTAAAATTAGCTAGGCATTATTTATCTCTCTCATTGTCTCACCCCTCCATCTTGGTTTCCCCAATTAAGATGCCCCCATTTTCCCACTTTCTCCCTTAATAATACCCTTCTCTGACGGTCCTACCTCTCTTAAGCTCCTTCTTTCCCTTTATCCCCTAGGTTCCTTGTATACCCTTTCCTCCCCCCTCCCTTAAACTAACCCAATTTTTATACATATCTCCCTTATTAAGGCCTGTTTCCTACTGTTCTTCTCTTTCAGGTTCTTTCTTTTCCTTTACCTCTCTGTTTCCTTTCCATTATCCTGTCACCTATAGTTATGTCTGGGTACATACTCACTTATCAGGATTTGGTTCTACGATCCACATATGAGGGAGAACGTATGTTGATTTTTTTTCTAAGTCTGTGCTACTTCACTTAGTATAACAGTTTCTAGTTCCATCCATTTACTTGCAAATTTGATGATTTCATCTTTCTTTACTCCTGAGTAAAACTGCATTGTATAAATGAAACACATCTTCATTATCCACTCATCAATTGAGGGACACTTAGGTTGCTTCCAT